TTTTTGCATTGCTGCAGACACAGCAGCAAGAGGAAGCCCAAGGAATTCATGACTGCTTATGCGTACAACGCGGGAGGATGCATCCGCGATGGGCGATCGGGCTCGGGCTCGGCTGTGTGGTGTGTGCCAGACGTTGTCGCCTGCGATGCGACGCTGGGACGGATGCCTTGGCCCTGCTCAGTCGAAGACGTCGTCTTGTTGTTTTCGCTGCTGTATTCGTAGTCCTCCGTACACGGTGATGCAATGTGTTGTGAGTTGTGAGTGTGTGGGAGAGCACATTTCTTCCTTCCCAGGTGGCGGGCAGGATGGCTGCATTTTCACGGGCATCCGTCCTGCTGCAGGGCTCGTCATTCCCAAGTGGCGCGCGAGCGCACACACGCGCGGCGGGCGCACCGGGTAGGCAGTACGTAGTTCCCGACCCTGTCACGCATGGCGCTGGGAGAAGAAGATGTACTCCGTACTCCGTAACTAGTTAGGATGTTGCCTGGCGCTGGGTTCTTTTTGTCCTTGGCTTGGTGGCGTTTGCGTGCTGAAGGGAAGTGTTCCGAAACGGAAGGGGGGGGGGAGGACCAACCCTGCTTTTGGCTGGTGAATGGACAAAGTCTTTTTCCGGTGCCGCGCCACGCAAGCTCAGTTCAATTGGTTGGCTAATCCGTAGGTAGGTAGGTAACAAGTCAAATTCCCCCTCCGTGCCCAAGATGGGCAACCGATACCGGGTTCGCTGAAAAGAAGCACACATGCTATTATTATTACGTCGTTTGTGTTCAATTTGTTGGGAGGGCGGGGGAAGGGAAGGTTTGGGCGTCAATGGAGAACAGAGAAAGCCGCGGATATAAAGTGTAGACACGCTAGGAGCCGTTCGGCGCGCGACGCCATTGCCGAGCCAAGCCTCACAGAAGCCCGGACGAACCGGAAACGAACAACGTTCTAGTCTCGTTTTTTTTTCTTCTTTTGACTTGAATCATTTGATCCAGAGTCCATGACTATTTGGTTCTAGAGCAGGGTGGGCTAGGCCAGCAAGGCCAGGGGGGGGGAGGGGGGGGCGTGGCTGGGTCAAGGTAGCTTTTCTGTTTGGAAACGTTATCGAAATCCCAAACCTGGGGGCGCTTTCTGGTGAGCGGGGGGGGAGGGGGGCGTCGTCGTACAGCCCTGTTGGTGTTGCTGTTTTCTGGGACGGCGGACTCCATTCTCAGGTAGAAAGAAGGAACAAATGCCTACCCAGTTACTTAGAGACGGGAAAGTAAGTGGCTTTTTCCTTCTTCTCGGCGTATGGCCTCGTGGCCAATGGTGTCTTGCGCGTGGAGGAAGAGGAGTCGTTGCTTTGGGGGGCTTTGGGGGTGGCTCCACAACCACCTGTCAAGGTGCGCGATGCAAAAACGTCGACGATATTTTTGTCCTCTCTCTGCCGTCGGTGAGGTAGTTACCCGTACCAGTTGGTTATTATTACAAGTCTTTTTTTTTTCGTTTTTTTTTGGGCGCGCCCCCCCCTCTCTGTTTCCGATTCCGCCTGCTCCTTGTCATGAGGTAGCCTTGCATTCGGGCACGGCCGTTGCCTTTGAATCTCAAAAACTCTAAATCCTAAATCAACCTGATTTTGACCTCTTTCGGCAGATTCTCAGACTAACAAAATAAACCACTTGACAAAAAAGGTTCGATTCTTCTTAGTGAGTTACCCGCAGGGCTGTGTGTGTGTGTGTGAGTCCAGCAGGGGTGCCCAGGTCTGCGAGACACCCTGCTGGTGCCCTGAAACCTCGAAAACCAAAAAGACTCTTTTTACTTTCCATCAATTTTTGCTCATTTTCCATTATTTTTAGATTTATTTTCCTCAAACACATTTCTTCTTTTTTTTCTTCTTGGCTGGTTTCTTCGTTTCCTGTCAATTCCCGGCCCCAGGAAAATAGGCTCGGCCCGCACGGCCTCTTTGCCCTGGGCCGGCCGGCGCTACGGCTTCGGCTTCCCGCCGGTAACACGTGTCCAACGAGGAGCAACCAAGTCCCTTTTTTCTTTTCTTTTTTTTGGCAACTACCGAATCCTAACCCGCTCCCATTGTCACGACCAGTCTCTTCTTTCGTCTTAATATTTTATCCCTAACTACCGAGCGTCTTTCGTCAACACTTACAAGTTGATGCCCGCGTACGTAGTTACCAAATCTTGCCAACCACACACCTCACTGTATCTACCAGTAAACGGCTTTTTCTTTATCTGATGCGGTCCTGGGCAGCAATCTTGGAGAGAGAGGACATTGAACAAGGGCCTGCTGGCGCGCCCCCCCCCCTCCCCTTCCAACCTTCCCGCTTGCTCCAATCACCTTGTCGGCTCGAGGCCTCGAGCACAACATCCGGTGTGTGCGGCGTGCGGGTGCGCGTGTGGTTGAAATGACGAGGCCATGCCATGGACCAGGGGGGAGATGGGGGGGGGGGGGGGCTTGACCTCATGCAAAAGGCAGGGGGACCAAACGCCAATCCCATGCCGTTATGAAACGGAGCCGCAGTTAAAGACACCTTGGTATTTTTTTAATTGTTTTTATTATTACCATTATTTCTCAATGCCCACCCTCCCCTTTCGTCATTCTTTGTCAAATAATAATAATAGGACCAAGAAAAAAAAACTTGCGCAATCGAAAAGCCGTTGTTGTTCCCTCGACCCTGTTCTGTCCATGCAATAGCCCATGAACAAATGCGAAAATGGATACAAGCACTGGGCTTGCCTTGGCGACCTTTGTCCCCTGTAACTTACTCTGTAGAATTGGTCCTTTTCTTTTCTGTAGTTTACTGATATTCAACGCCCTGCGCGGCACCTGTCAATCCTGGGGGTGGTCCAGCACTTTGCACGCCCAACAACAACAGCTTCACCACTGCCAGTGCCTCTCTCGAATCACGCCTCGTCGCCTCGTCCCAGAAACCTTGTCCACCTCCGGGACCGCGCGGGCCCTGGTTTCCATCTTCCGAGCGTTGTTTCTGTCACCAGTAGCACACCGATTCCTTCCTGTTCAACGCAATCAGGCGCCGCCGCCGTTCGGCATACTACTTCTCTTTCTTTTCTTTCTACCCTACCAGTACCGCGCCCATTTTTTCCCTCTTTAATTGTTACTCCCGTACAACGACGACGACGACGAAAAAAACCCACGCGAGTTTCGGAGAAGGGTCCCCGGCTCGTGTCCTACATCATCACCAATTGCTTATTGCCCTCCCTTTCCAGTTGCCTGGGACTTGTACCACACTCCAACTCCATTTTTATTTTCTTGGTCCCTCTCTCTCTCACCTCTCTTTCGTGATATATATAAGGTCCTGCGAGGAGAGCAAACCTGGCCTTTCCACACCCTTTCCTCGGCCCTCTATATAAACGACAAGTAGCAAGCCAATCTTTGCCTTGTTAGCAGCGCACTAGAATATTCTCTAATCGCCTTTTTTTCTTTTACCAAGGAGCTAAAGAGATTGAGTCTGCCAGCCACTTCCCCCACGCCGTCTCATCTGTTACGCGCTTCCCTTTTACCCACACACACACACATCCGACCTCCTGCCATCCGTTCTCTGTCAAACCCACACTCCCGTCCCCTAGTTCGGCTGTCAAAGATGAGTTCCCCTGGTGGTGGTTTCTACAAGTATCGCTGCAAATACTTTCTCTCTCACGACTGCAAGAACTGGGTGTGGGTGAATGATACGCCATGCTCAACCTGCCTTGTAAGTGTTTCCTCACGCAGCTCTTGTCTCCCCCTCAGCCACGCTAATTGGTATGATTATTTTTTTGGTTGGGAAAAAGGCCATCGGTCGTGATGACGAGCCTTATCCAGCTTCGGCCTGGGCAGCGTCGAGAGACATCATGGCGCCTCACGTCAGCAATGGCATCCTGCAGTACGCCCGACTCGAGATCGCCGTGTCAGATCAGGGCGAAGAGAGCCTCATCCTCCGATCCAAGGCTCTGCGCCCTCCACCCGCCATGCCGGTTACGACAATGATGCCTAGGGGAAGCTCTCTCATGGCTAGTGCCCATTGACGGCGAACGAGCTCCGAGAGCAGTGCCTCGCAGCAGATTGGTGCCAGACGGGAAGACTGACACGATTATTACGAGACACGACAGAAAAGCAGCGGGGAGCAAAAAATGAGAGTTTTTCTTGCAAAAGAAGGCAAATATAATACGGCGCGAAAAAAAAAGTGCGATTTGGGGTTTGATTGGGTTTTTCTTGCAGATGCCCCTCGCGGGAAGCATACGGATACTTTCACTATGGTTCATGTAGTTATTAGTGCGCAGATACTGTTTATAATTAGACTAGCAATTGGGAAGAGCAGGCGTTTAGACTATGCGAATGGTTTTATAAAAAAAATGACAAGGTAGAATTTAGGGGATGCTTCTTTTGAGAATGAACACCGCAGTATCTAGGGAATGAAATGGTTCTTCAAAAACTGAACAACGCAGAATCTAACTTGGGGCATCTCCTATCAATAGCTAGCAGGACTCGTCATAAATCAATGCCTCGTCCCGTCTCAGCTGGACGACAGCCTGTCGTGGAACCCAAGTAGACTGGCCGAGACCAAGACACACGCCCCCGGGAATATTATTTTGTATATTTTGTATTATTTTCTATATTATTCTCCAACGATTTTCTCGGTAATATCCTGCTTCAACCACATCTGCCGTCTGCCAGCGAGGGTCCTCACACCCTCTTTGGCCGTCGAAAATGCATGCAGGCTGCTGCACCGAGTTCGAAGCGGACGGGGCCACGATGCGCCACAACCACCGCCACCGCCATCCGGGGCCTCTGAGACTGCAGCATCACAGTTGCACAACATTCATCACAGCTTGCATATCAGTCGACCCGGGGATCCTGATCTCACTCATCAATTTTGCCCGGATTTTATTTATCCTTTATTATCCCCCTTTCTTTTGCCACGAGCGCGCTGCCGATGGGCAGCAGAAAGGCGAACGCAGATGCGCCACCCGTGCAACCCGCCAAGGTCGGTCAACAGCCCCATGGACAAATTGGGTACCTGGTCTGCGTGGCATCTATTATCAGACTGCTTCATGCCGGTCCATCCCAGTCTCCACGCCACTCTTCATGCTAGATACAGACTGGTAAATGACGAGGGCCGCGGCATATCTCGATGCATGAGCATGAGTCGAGCCCATCAGCCCGCCCTGGGCACAGCTCTGGTCGGAGAAAGACGGGGCATGTTCGGCCTTCATCGTGGCGGTCTGGCTGTTGGTCTCCATGGTCGACTATTAACCTCTTCTTTCACATATTATTAGTTACAACCTGCATTGGCATCGAGTCAAGCATGGGACCAAGTCAGTCCCTACTTTGATGTGGCGCAGTAGGTGGCGCCGCCATGACTTAAGGGCGCGCCATCGCGTCATCAAGTCAAACGGTTTCTACGTTTCACGTCCAAAGAACCTTCGTATCAAAGCTTATTAAAGAACAAACCGCCAAGCAGTTGTCCATGGTTCCTTTGGCTCTACAACCCGTTGGGCGCAGCTGTGTAACGTGATAGGGTTCAGGCAGGGCCTTCGGGACAAGTCCAAAGTGTCACAATGGTGCCATGCGACCCAACGAGCTGCATGTTTGTGTCACGACCGCCATTTGAGCCGGGTGGTACTTCAGCTGGTTAGGATGGAGATCATCGAGCCAGGGTTCGAGTCTCATCATGTGTGAGCCGGAGAGGTTGCATCATTTGCAACGGTTTCGGCACAAGAGAGCCCTACGTCTCCAGGGATTAAAATGTGGCGTCCGTCAACGTCGATTGTCTGTGCGCCGGGCAGGACCGAGTTGGCTTTTTAAATTGGGCTGCGGCTTGGTCTCGTCCTCTTAATATCCGTACTTCGGCAGTCGATACGGATGCTACGTCGCCAAGGTCATTGTGGCCCCATGTCTTGTTGACCTTATCAGATCCGGTTTGCCGATTCTCAACATGTGAATTTCCTGTTCTGATATTAGCATTTCGTACAAGGCAGTCAGGTAAGGTGTAACTTATCCCCTCCAACGTGGGGGGTTGTCCCGTCCGACGTTTCTGACGGCCGAGACAACCAGGACTGCCCACATCCCAAGGCCTGTCCTTTCAAGGCGAATGAATTCAGCACGGAAACGCCGCAAGGCACATCTCAAGCTTGCAGCCAGCTCCGCCAGCCCACAGTACCGGACAAGTACGAAACTTTGACACCAACACGAGATGGGTCCCAACACGGCTTTTTGGATCGGCGCTGTCTGCTCAATTGAGCCCAAGAAGACATTACATCACTCGGGTCACCCGTTACCGAAGCCGTAGCATTTCGCTGCTGTCATCTGGCTGGTTTCCACCAACGCCCAGTCCAGCCATTACCATTTCCAAACAACAAGGTCGCTAGCTCATGCTGACTTGTTCTGTATGTATTGCACTGCCCGCAGGGACTAGTTTTTGTTTCATTCCCATCAAAGCTTGCCAGGCAAGCCGGAAAAAGGAAGCATTGCCGCACGCACAAAAGACATCCATAAAAAACGCGCTTTCATCTCGTCTTTGGGGAGACCCAGAAACAGAGGAAGATGCTGATGCCGCGGGGCATTCAGCGGTGGACTGGCGCCTTCCATCACGTCGGACCTAGCTGACGTGTGGAAGCTAATGTGCCTAGCTGGACCATCTGCCACGCTGTCGCCGGGGCGAACATGTGGCTCGAGGGGCATTCCGTAGTTCCGGGGCCACTTCGGCAGTTGAGAGACTGAGGGCTCAAGATCCGAGAGCATTATGAATGGGCAGTGGAAGTACGAGCAGCGTTTCTGTATGTGATCCACGCAATCTCTCGCAGTAATGCCAGGCATGACGCTGACAAAACCTCCGGCGAGGGGAAGCTGGATTAGGATCGTGAAACGCCATCTCTGTGTGTGACCGCATTCAAGCTCAACTTGCACTCCTCAATTGTCTCTATTTTCAACGCCATATCAGCTCCCAGAGTTGTTCAGACCGCACCACTCGATCAGCCGTGCTGTCAAAACCACAGCACTGGTTCCGGCGGAGAGGAGCGGACGAGCGGTCTCAGACCAGAGACTCTTACCACACGACTCATGGCATCCTCACCTTTGACCTGCCTCCGGGACGGAAGAGGCAACCGGGCCGTCGGCGCGAGCCAGTCTGTCGCAGCAGAGGTTCCAATCATCAGCCAATCCAACTTTTCAGCGGGTAAAGGCATCCGAGGATCCTCGCGCAACTTAGAAGGCTGCCGACGGCAGAGGCACAAGACTTGAAGAAAACCAGAAGGATTACTTAGGGTTAAGTTCCGACACGCATTCCCCCTTGGTCGGCCGGGCACCCCTTGCTGGATGCGTTGAACCCGCGACAATGTCCAGCAGCAGCTAGCAGCGAGGTCCTGATGCAGGCTCGGGAGCGCTTGCGCGGGCATCCATACCTTCATAGAGGGGTCTGCGGTAGACATTCCTTGCGGAAAATGCGTGCCGGTGAACTGTAGGGCAGGCGACGGTGCAAATTGGGTGGTTGCCGGCGAGGCGAACAAGTCGAAGCATTAGTAGCGTCAACGTTGTGGAAAGTAAATGGTGAACATTTGAAGGGATCATTGGATGGAAGCTGGCCTTCGAGCTGCGAATTCGGGCCTCAGCTACAGCGTTGTGGTTGAAGTTGAAGTGAGTGAGAGGAAGACGCGTTCTGGGAGACGCGATTTGTACCTAGAGCTTGGACGCACAGGCCACCCACATCCTGGTCAACGATTTCTTGACTGTTTGCTGCGACGGCGTTTGCAAGGTGTATATCACTATAGAGAAGCCAAAATTCATGTATGAATAAAGTGACGCGTTCAATTCAAGTCTTATTCAGCCTCAGAACCGTTCACATCTGTCGTGGCAACAACGTTTGCCCCCAGCCGAGGAAGCTGGCTCCAGTCAAGCTCGCGCCACACCGGCCACTAGCCACACTTCGAGGCTGTGGCTGAGTCACAAAGGTCTGCAGCAATCGGCAAACTTGGTCGCATTAAACTAGAAATCGCCTGTCCAATGTGGAATCGTGAAAGTCGTGTCTCTCTCATCACTCTACACACTAGAAATACATTCATCAACATCGTGCATCCACCGTTATGGCTGACGCGCCCAATACAGAAGAGAAAAAGCCAAACCTGATACAAGAGATAATAGATGTAGCCAAAGAAGCCTTCAACCCCGCTAGCGATGAGGTCACTCGGGAAGCCGGACGTCTGAGATACGATGACCTTGTAAAACAGTACGTCAGAGTTGTCTTCTCAAAGTCCCATCTCCTTCAAAGGTTGAATCTCACAATTGCCATCGCAGGGTTGACACCTGGACCCTTCTACACGCCCTCAACGCCCTCATCAAGCCGGACGTTGTCCCGCCATGGCTGCGGCAGCCACTCATGCAGACCCTGACGCTCATTCCGCTGCGCAACGACGGTGTCCGCGGCACGCTAGAGCTCGTCTTTTCCGTGCATCCCAGCAACGTGGGCGCGGCCGATCCGTCCGGCGGACAGGAGCCGCAAAAGCAGGGCGCTGGCATCACCCACGAGGCCGTCGCGGTCGCCACCAAACTCCTCTCGTCGGTGCCGGTGGGCATGACGGCAGAATACTGGTTTTCGGGGATATCGGCGCAGGTTTTCGCGCTGATGGACGGCACGGCTGGGCCGGATCTCGCGCGCACCGCAGCGCAGATTGTGGGCTTTGGAATCCTCGGCAAAAAGGCCTACGGCGCGCCGGGCTCGGCTGGGTGGAACGTTTTCGTGCAGCCGCTTCTTGAGGGTGTTAATCCATCGTTGAGGCAGAGGAGTCCTGGCAAGAAGGAGGAGGAAGATGAGATCATTGATCTCTCGAAACCCAAGGTGCTCGTCGAAGCAGATGCGCTGCAAGAAGCTCTTCAGCGCTTGCAGGTCTTGGTGCTGTCAAATCCATCACCAGGCCTATGCAAGAGAATACTTGGGCGTATTATTCTGCAAATATGGGCTCTTGCTTCCTGGAACAATCCTAATGAAGCGGTGCAGAATTCAGTATACACCCCCGCAAGGAAGCTGTTGCGGACATATTTACAGTTATTCGGAAACCTCGAAAGCGTGAAGCCCCTCATTGCGAATCTCACCTGCAAGGGCTCGTCTACAATGCCAACAACTTCTACATCCATAGCAACGCCATGGCGCTATACTATGACGACCTCTGGAGCGGTGGAAATCACGGCGCTTCCACCGCCAGATGCCTCGCAGCCACCTGACCTTGACTGGACCGATATTGAATATAGAGCGACCACCTTGGCGGAGTACATTTCGGGCGCTTGCTCGGCAGAGGATACATCCTCTATATTCTTATCATTACTACGGCGCTGGGTGGAAACGGCAGGGAAGCAGTCAAGTAACGCGGACATCAGCCTCTTCTCTCCCGTCAAGACCGAATCGGGGAGTCCTATCGAAGACCTTATGGAGGTTTCCATTCTACAGCAGCTGATGGAAAAGGCGCCAGACAAGCTCATCAGTCATTTCGACCAGCTCCTCGAGCTCATCACCCAAATCTTTGAAGCGGATGCAAAATCTCCGCTCGGAGACGAAGTCATCAGTGTGGTTTTGAGCTTGGTCAACCTAGCAGTGACAGCACCGACGTTCCAGAAATCCGACATCAATCCAAAAGAACTGCAAGTAGTGGAGCAGTCTCTTGACCGGTTATCCCAAGAAGACCGAGCTGATGTTTCCGGAACGGCACGAAATCTAAGCCTATTACTCAAGTACCGCGACGAGCTCGACGACGACGACAAGGGTAAGGGACCACCCGACAGCAGGAAAGTGGAAGACCGCAAAACCTACAACCTTGCCATGGGCTACATCACCGGCGACAAGGAGAACCCGCCGCCCATTGTCGCCGAAGGCCTCAAGCTCCTCTCTGGCCTCATCGTAGCCGAGAGCCCAATTCTGGACATCACTGCCGTCTCCGTGCTCCTGTCTAATCTCCTGGCTGAAAATGAAGACTACATCAACCTGCAAGTTGTCAAGATGTTTACCCAGCTCGCCAACAAGCACCCGAAAACCACCATGAAGGAGATTCTAGACCAGTACCTCGACGCCCAGGAAAAGGCCACGACCGACACGCGCCTGCGCTTCGGCGAGGCCCTCGCGCACGTCATTGAGCGGCTCGGCCAGACCTTCACCGGTGACATTGCCCAGCAGGCATGCGAGACGCTCCTGTCCATTGCCGGGCGCCGCGGCCACCGCCCCAAGACGCTCGCGCGGCAGGCCCGCGAGGAGCGCATGCGGAAGCTCAAGGAGAGAAAAAAGGCACTCGGTGACGAGGACGCGGACATGGAGGACGAGGAGGAAGAGGAGGAGCTGACCGAACAAGACCGGGCCGACAACGACATCCTGGCGCAAATCGTCCAGGGCTGGGAGAGCAAGCGCGGCAGCGAAGACGTGCGTATGCGTGCCTCGGCGCTCTCCATCCTCGGCGCCGCCCTCGAGAGCCACCTGCGCGGCGTCGGGCCCGCGCCGGCGTCGGCCGCCGTCGACCTGTGCCTGCACGTGCTTGCGCTCGAGCCCGAGCCCGAGCGGGCCATTCTCCGACGGGCTGCCATCATTACCATTCTGAGCTTCCTGCGGGCCCTCGCCGCCGCTCGCGACGAGGGCGGCCCGGCCTCGCTGGGCTTTGGCCTGACGGGCGCCAGCGCGGCTGATATTCGGCGCTCGCTCGAGTACGTGGCCGCCACGGACAATGACGGGCTGGTGAGGGAGCACGCGCGGGACGCTGTCGAGAGTCTCGCCGTGTGGCAGGCGACCAGCGCGCTGCTCCCGACGGCGGCGGGCGACGGCGGCGGCGGCAGCCTGGCGGGGCTGAGGGTGAGCGGTGGGCGGCCGCATCAAAGGCCAAGGATAGAGGAGATTGAGTAACTAAGGAAATGGGTCGTTCTTCTTTGCCGTATTGTGGCTGGGGGTATATAGACTTGAGCAACTACGAGATGGGTGCTTGCATGGGCCGTGGACCTTGTTGGTGCTTTTGGGCGGCATGTGCCCGGTTCTGCAAGACGGCATATGAACTACTCTAATAGGAGCGTTATTTTCGCATATCTGATACTGCTGCGCATCGTCATAAGTATATGCAACTGGGCTGTGCCGCCGCCCCATTGCCTCTCTTGTGATCATGCTCCCTTCCCCCGTGCAACCCCAGTTGTATCATCAACGGATGAGCAAAGACCAAGCAACCGAAAATAAAGAAAGAAAGAAATACGACCAAGAGCCATGTCTATACTACATATCTATGTGGGCAATAGAAAAGGAATTGCGGGAAAGAAACCGGTTGTAAAAATAGCTTGAGAATGAGTCGTGCCTTCACCCCGTGTGCACCCCGTGTGAGGCGAAGCCGCGGGTGGGGAGAGTCGGAAAAAAATATCGATACCAGATATTGACAAGCGAAGAAAAAATAACGTTGCATAAACAATCCCACGTTTTATGCGCAGCGGTGTGGGCGGGAGGCTGTCGCAGCATAGCCATTGAGGCAAATCGGCGCGCGCATAAACCGTCGGAGCAATATCTGGCAGCTCTTATGAACCATCAGCGGGTTCCTGGTTTCGCACGCCTCGTTTTGGGATCATGTCCGATATTATAGTACCGGCCCTTTATAATTTAATCTGTAACTACAGATTACCAGCTTGTCCGTTTTTGCATGGAGGAACGCCCTTTCGAGAATTGGCCCCCAGGGGTCTGGGCCAACGGATCTACAGGCGCTCGTGGACGTCTACGTCTAACAATGGCGTTCACCCGTTGAACCAACTACCCTAAACTTGGCAGGTGTAAAACGGTCGAGGCCAAGGAGAGGATAGTTACTGGAAGATGAACGGATGGATGAGCTCCAGCATGGTATTAGATTGGCCGCCCACGTAATTTACTGGCGACGAATAAGGTTCTTGTTGGCTTCGCGTTGGATGATGAGTGGTTGGCGGTGTGGCGCTGATTATCCCAGCAGAGCAACTTCAATAACCCGAATAACAGCGCCTACATTTATATACGAGTTAATAGCGCCTGATAATCTCCTCAATAAATCATCGCTAATTTATTAATACGGTGTACAGATTACAATGAGACGAAATGGCTGTGCAAGGGCAGTGCTTAGGTCCCCGACTGAAGCATGGCAACGCGAGAGATATCAAACATCAAACCGGTTGAGCACGCCAGTCGCTCAGTGAAGCGCTTTTTCTCAAGATAACTAAAACAAAGTTGGCGATTCAGGGCAAGCAGTGAGCCAAAGCCCGAATAACGCGACATTTTTGACAAGGCGCATCTGAGTACTTTTTCTTTTACCAGCGTACGGGCCCTCGTGTTTCATGACAGGGATGGAAGGGAGGGTGTGACGAAGCGCAGGGTGTGTGCTGAGTGGCTCAAAGGTCAGGGCGAACATTTATGCAGCCAAATTGCTTTGTCAAGCCACGCAGACTACAAGTATTATTATGACGATGTGTTGCAGCCTGACGCCTTACCATCAAAGATGCTATCGGGTTCAAATATAAAATAATAAGCCCAGCGAGACTTGTTCAGCTCTCGAAGGTGTGAGCTCAGAGCACTGTTGAATCTTGGGTAAGGCGAAGAATGTCAGATGAGGGGTCAGCGTGGGTTGGCGCATGTGGATGTGGATGCAGGTTGATGTAAAAATCTAGTTTGCCATGTTAGGTCACTTATTCAAACAAATTCGCCATCAAGTATCCGAATAAACGGGTTGCAAGTGTTTTATAATATTTTTTTTGTCGTGGGCTCAAGGTACAGGCCGCGAGCAACCCTCGGGTGGTCAAGTGCAATAGAGTTTGTTGTTCCTGGCGGCCCCAGCTTTGACCAAAGTTAAAAGCTGGGCTGTGACTGTGGACGAATGAGAACAAAATATTCACCGTGCACTGTTTGCTCGCATAATTCTTGGTCTGCTAGTTTCGAGTCTCCGGCGAGTCGCTGGTTACAAAGGAGCACTGATAGCCTGTGGTGCGCATCGTGCGTTGAGTGAAGGAGTACTCTGTACAGAGTACACGCGTGCATCTGGATCGCATCGCATCGCGTTGAAGTGTGGGATGGAATGGGATGACGCAGGACGCAGGACAATGTCGGCATTGTGTGTGACGAGGAGCCATCCGAGGCGTCGGGGCCAAGCAGAGGACGCGTAGCAAAGCGAGAGTGGTTGGTGGAGGGGCGCCAAGGGACCAGGCGAGCGCGTGGAGGAATGAAGAGGGGGCGACGAGGCGTTCCTGGGAAGCTTGGAAGCTTGACGAAGAGCGCAGGGGTATCGTATCGTTGTGCTGTCTCTTTGAGCTAGGAGCTAGGAGGACTTCGCAAGCAGTTGGTAGCGTGGGGCGGTGGCGTCGATCGTGCAACAGGTATCCCTGGGCCTCCTGGCGTCTTTTTCGGTGCTCGCTAGGCCCAGAAAAGCAAGGCCTTCGCCGAGCGGCCCGGGATGGCGTCGGCTTTGGGCAACGATTGGCTGTCGACTCGTCTCAGGATACGACGGTACCTGCATTTGAAGCCCCTGAGCGGATGACGAGGCGGAGGAGGTGCCTTTGGGTGTCCCTGGGATGGGATGGGATTTTTAGGGCCGTAGGCGTCGGAAACAAAACAATTATGCTTGAGAGGACAGGATGATGCAGAGAAGAAGAATCAAAAGAGAGGAAAGCAAAGTAAAGTTGGGCGTGAACAAACGGTGAGGGGCATGTTGGGGTTTGGCAGCGGGCGCTATTCAACGTGGCAGCTGGCAACTGGCAACTGGCAACTGGCAACTGGCAACTGGCAACTGGCAACTGGCAACTGGCAACTGGCAACTGGCAACTGGCAACTGGCAACTGGCAACTGGCAACTGGCAACTGGCAGGCATCTCTACGAGTTCCTACGATCAGAGGTTCTGGAGAGCAAACGGAGCAGATGAGGCCATGAGAAGGCAGCATAGGAACACCGGCAATAATAAATACCAGAATACTGGTAAGCGAGCAATGACATGTTCAGAATGGGATGGTGGGTGTCAAGTAAACATGTCAGAGTTTGGGCCATCTAGTTAGGCGAGAGGCAAGAGCTTGAGGCAGACCCTGGCTAGCTGTAACTATCAGTATTATACGGATAGACAGTATCGAGACCCATCCATCTAGTCGAAACGACGCCACTGCGGTGCCTGAGTGCAGTTGATATTGCAGGGGGGAGATGGTCGGCAGCCATTGTGGCATTGTTTGGATGGCGGTGGGCGGGGATGGACCGGATGAAGCGCGCCGACGACGGAGTGAGGCAATATCTGCATCGACTGATAATTGGGAGATAACTATGGAATATTGATCAGAAGCGGTGCGACACGAGGTTTGGCGCTCGGTAAATTGGTCATCCAAAAGACAAATTTCCCGCCAGGCTGCGACGGCTTGAGAAGTCCGAGTTGGATCCACGGAGCAAGGAAAGAACTCGTCATGGATGAGGCGGTGCCAGATCCTGGTCATTAATAGTTTGGGGGAGAGGCGAAGCAGTGATGAAGATTGGGCTGCGGAGCAGGTACGGAGTAGAATAGGGGAATATTGAAGTTGGTACGAGAATGACGAGTACGAATAAATATAGCAACAGTCAGGATATAGGCAGCTGGGTAATAGCGAATAGGCAGAAAAACAGCGGTTGGTTACAGTGGTTGGCTGCGTCGGGTTGACTCAGGCACAGGCACAGCACAGACTGTCGGAGGGTCAGGGCGGGTGGACAGGCTTGGCTTACAGCGGTTGTGTGCAGATGGAGGCGAAGGAGGTAGTTCGTTACCTACGACCCAACGAGCATGTAAATACAAGCTAGTTACAAGAAGCGGAATAGAATCATGATGCCGCTATCCGCGCAATTTTTTCCAAGTTGTAAAAGGCCTCTATCTATTAACTAGTTCGATTGCAGTTTGTTCATTCGTCGTTGGGGTGTGCATCTTAGCTTTTCCTGGGACACGCCTCTACCTCCACTTCATCCCCCCCCACTCACATCCCCTCCCCACCTGCCCTCCTTGCTTTCCAAAAAAGCTCGGCCCGCCAGAACTGGCTGGCAGCCTGCGGCCTGAAGGCTCGCCCTCACCCTCACCCTCATAATATCTACCTATCTATTCGCTCCTTTTCGCTTCTCCATTCCCTCTCACCATCCTTCAAAAAGAGTCGACCACATTCCTTCTTTTCCTTGCTCTACCTTCTCTTTCACTTCAATTGCTCTAGCATTACTACCAGTCTAGTGTTGATCTGTCCCAACTACAGTCAACATCTTTTTGCTCTCACCAAGACATCAGCTCGATACACCGACGCCGCGTCTTTTTCTTTCCTTTTCGTGAGCTTGCTGGTTTTGCCACGATTGATTTTACGCCTTCTCAATCTTGCTCTCATCCCCGTCGACTCGACTCCGGAACTGGTTATACCCCCAGTCTCTTATACGCTCTCTATCAGCCTCTGAGCTCTCGCACCGCATTCTATATATCGCCTCACCGAGTATAACCAACAGTACAAGATGAAGTCCACCTTTGCTCTCGTCGGCGCTTACGCCGCTGTCGCCGCTGCCTTCACTCCCGGCCGCCACCTGCACTTCCCCCGTGCTAACGGCACCTCCGCCCTCCCCTCCGACGCCATCACCACCCTGACCGTCCAGACGACTCGCACTTCCACCATCATCAGCTGTGCTCCCACCGTCACCAACTGCCCGGCTGGTAAGCCCGAGATGTCGGCCATCCCTGAGAGCGCCCGCCAGGTCCAGACCGTCACTGAGACGATTGACCTGACAACCACTATCTGCCCCGTCAGCGAGGCCAGCGCCATTTCCTCTTCGGTCATTGAGAAGCACAACTCGGCTACCCCCATCGGCTCTGCTTCCTCCGCCCTCGCGCCCACGGTCACGCCCACGCCCACACCCGCCGGCGCTCTCACGACACTGACTGTCAAGTCCACCCGCACCTCAACCATCACTAGCTGTGCTCCCACTGTCACTAACTGCCCCGTTGGCAAGCCCGAGATGTCTGCTATCCCCGAGAGCGCCCGCCAGATCAAGACTGTCACTGAGACGATTGACTTGACTACTACCGTCTGCCCTATTACCGAGGCCAGCACCATCTCCAAGAAGATCATTGAGCAGCACAAGTCGTCTTCGGCTTCCTCTGCTCTTCCCAGCCAGCAGCAGCCTCCTCTCCGCACCACCGACATCATCTCCACCAAGACCATTACCCTGACTCTGGGCACCGGTGATAGACAGTCTGTTGTCCCTACCGTCATCACCACCACCATCAAGTCCACCATCACCCCCCCTGCTTCTGCTGAGGAGACGGTCACTACCACTGCCACCTCTACCTCGACCAAGACTGTCACCATTACTCGTGCCAAGACCACCAGCACCCCTGCTCCTGTCCCTGGTAACAACGGCAACGGTGGCAGCGGCTCCAACTGCGAGAAGTGCGCTGCTCCCGCTACCGTTACCGTCACGGTTGCCCAGACCACTATTACCGCTTCCGCCGCTACTGTCACCGTGACTGCTCCTTGCGCCACTGGCTCTCTCCCTGTTGGCGGCAAGCAGGTTGAGCAAGAGAAGCCTGCTGACAAGGCCAGCCAGAGCAAGCCCGCTGGCGGCAACGTCACCACCCAGCCGGCTGCCTCGGCCTCGGCCACTCCTTGCGAGTCTGACTCTACCACCTTCATTGACGCCACCGTCACCGTCGTCCCCTACCCCGTCAACAACGGTACCACGCCCACCGGTGCTCCCAGCCCCTCTGGCTTTGCCCGTCTCCGCCGCTAAGCCGATGTGACATGGGTCAAGGTTCATCACCCTGACTTGTTTTGATTTATTCTCTTCTCTCTGTCCATGTGCCGATAGCTTTTCCAAAGTTTATCGCCTTACGTATTGGTCTCATGTAGAGCCCTGGCCACGATATATTTAGATTTTGGATTTTGGATTTGCGGAAGTCTTTTAAAAAGGCCAACCCAGCGAGGGGCTACCAAGGTCATTCTTACATAGCGGTGTATAGGTACTCTTGAATTTATTACTTACTACACCCTCGCTAAATGTGTGAACCTTGGTTACTTGTGACTTGAGATATAAGTGGTTTTCTGTAGGCTTTGATGGCAGTTCTCGTGGACAGACCTTTGATCATGCTATTTATCTGGACATTTCCGGTATTTATAAATAGGGTAGATGTAATTGCTCAATGTTGTTACGGTATCAGTTTTTCTCTGACGTAGGCTCACCGACCAGCGTAGCATCTGTAACTGCTCCTCCGCCGTTCCAAACAAGTCAATGCCCAGCCAATACCCGAAAACGCCTATGTACTGCTGATCCCTCTCAGCACGTATCAAGAAACAAAAAACACAATACAACGCCAAAAACCCCCAACGCTAAATGCCATGAGAAACAAATTCTTGTGTGACGTGCATGACGCCGTCGTGGTCGTGATGAGATTGCCAACAGGTTTTGCTTTTGCTTGTTGGATCTGCTTGTAGATAATGTCTGTTACCGCCCCAGGACGACATGCTCGTACGTCTGCGCTCCCACCCTGGCAGCCAGCACCGCCTGCAGCGCCGCCCGCGTCCGTTGGATCTGCTCCCCGACGCCCGTCGTCTGCTCGACGTTGGCCTGCAGCCTGTCGACGTGCGCGCCGAGCGTGGCCACCATGTCCTTGATCTCTGGGTCCTCGATATTCTGCAACCATGCGGCCAATGTTAGTACCAAGCGAATTCTGCGGCGTGCAAAAATGATCAAGAGAAAAAAAGAGAAAAAAGAACATGCCTGAAAAGGATTCATCGTCGTCTTGTCAAACTTGACGCCCTGCCCGTCCTCCCCCCTGGCGCCGCCTTCCGCCGCGCCGTCCTCGGGCGCCAGCACGTGCGCTTTTTTCAACAAGCTGCGGTTCTCCCTCGCGCGCGTCCTCGCCTCGGCCTCCATCAGGCGCAGGCGCTCGTAGTCGCGCTCGAGCTCGTCCTCCATGCGGCGCGTCTCGGCGCCGAGCAGGTCGACGGCGTGCAGCACGGGGTCGAGCTGGCGCTCCAGCGTCTGCTTGGCGTCGAGCACGCTCTC